ATACTTTGTAGTTCAATCACATTTCATTTATTCTTTATAGTGTTGTAATTTATATGGAATTGATCATACTTATGAGGCAAGGAATTTATAATAAGTTGTAGAAGAAAATTTTCACTAACTTTAATTCGTATTGATCTTAATCTTGTTGCTATATTGACTTTTCAGTGGCATGTTTATGCACGGTATAAGAACCATCAAATTTTTTGGTAGTTAATGTACCTATTATTGTCCAAGAAATGAGTTATCAATAAAGTCAGATTAAGACATATCTTTTACAAACTTAAAAAATCCTTAGCATCATCAGTTTTAGGATTCATTGACTTAATGTTGTTTGTTATTACTATTCACTTGAACATTAAGCTCAATCAGTTTGATCTTTCCCAAATATTATGAAAAGACCTTTGTTTAGTATTGTTAGCTTAATAATAGTAGAAGGCCTATTAGTCAATAATGCCAAATCAAAATCTAGAACACCTAGATGATATTGGACTTGTTTACACCATTCAAAAAAATTAAGCCATTTAAGCTTTTTAATAGACAAAACTTGCGAATGAAGAAAAACAGGAATAGATGTTGCAAAATAGATAGAATGTTGATACGACAATACTTTGAGTTGTACCTTAAATACATAATATAGATTCAAATAACATTCATATAAACATTAAATGTATATTGAAGTTTTTTTTTGGGTGATCTAATAATGTACAACAACAAACATAATTGATGCTTAATTTTAATTTCACATCATTGGTAATTATATATACTTCAATTAGACATGCTTACTATCTCTGGACATGTAAAAATATCTAATAAATTATATTAATTAACCATGAACATGTTGATAATTATAAAATTAATCAATTTACCTTTTGACGATCCTTAAATATTTTATAATCAATGAACTTCAATGAACTTCAATTTACTCAATAAGTATATATCATCATGTCATCTCATTTATAACATCATATAATATTAAGTAATTGAATTTTATTTAATTTGATAAATTCATATTATTGATCTATAATAACAATTATTTTAATAATAATAATAATAATAATAATAATAATAATAATAATAATAATAATAAAAAAAAAAAAACCAAAATATACATATGTCAAAGGTGTTAATATTTTGAGTAAGCAAATATTAAAAAATTATCATATATAAATTTCACATAATTATTGTATCATATGAATACAATACAAATTTATATTTTAACAAGTATGTAAGTATAAAATAGTCAAACATTTATTCAGATTAATGGCTTTCATAATCATTGTAAAATTTATAATATTTAATTGTATTATTTACAATTTAATAACTATTAAGTTTTATTTATTTTGTCTTAAATCTATTATGTCACCTTTATTAGTTTTCTTTTCGTTATTTCTCTTTTCAATATATTATATATTCTTTAATATATATTCATTAATTTAATAAACATATATTTATTATGTTATACATTTTTTAATTAATAAATATGATTTAATATCATATTAAATTTATCAAAAGATATGAGTTACTAATTTTCTTTATATTATAATTGAATATTATAGTGTCATTATTAACTTATAAAAAATATTAAAATTTTAAAATTTCAGTAAAATATAAAACAAAATTAACAACAAACAATAACATTAAAATAGAACATAAAAATAAATATATATAGTAAAATTTAAAGAAAAATCACAAATTCTTAAACTAAAAGCTTTATTATCACATGTTAGATTTTTTTTATTATACAAATTGAATCACAACTTTGCATAGTCTTAATACCCAAGGTATTAGGATAAGATGATGCTCATGATTTCTTGTTTAAAGATAAGTCGAACATTGATTTATAATGAACTTTTTGAAAATAATTTTTTTAAGAAACTAATTTCTTTTTATTAAACGTATTTTTCTCTCTTGACCTCTTTAATCTTCACATACTCTTTTGATGAAGAGAAAATATCATTTTATTGACAGATAAAATATCATTTTATTGACAGATAGATGAGTGTTTCTTTAATTTATTATTGAACTATCTTTACTCATTCATTCTATCAATCTATGCATTAACAATAAAAAAAACCTTTCTTTTATTTGTAGTGATCAAAATGAGTTTTAATAATAATAGTTATTAAGCCATAATTATTTATTTACTTAAATTAGATAAAGGTATGTACTACAATGCACTCTTTATTGGTTTACATTTGTCTTGTGCCTTCCCTCATATTCAAAAGCTCAAGCAAATTGGTTGTATTGCTTAATTGGATTGTTGGATGCAGGATAATCCTCTTATATGTATAGCTGCTGCTCCTATTTCAAAGCTGTAAGCAAATTATTCTCTCATAGTCATAACACAAGAACATGAGTCTATCTTAGGCCATTAACCCATCCACAATTTAACTCCAGTAATTAATACCTCTAATTTCACTGGAAACACTTTTTCCTCTTTTAATTAATTTGACAAAATATTTCTACTAATTATTTTATATTAATTATATGCTTTATATATATATATATATATATTGGTTAATGGCATCCGTAGTCCATGAATTTTGACTTAAATTTTATTTTAATTTTTAAATTTTAAAAAATTTTAATCATATATCTAATTGTTCAAAATTATCATATTTTGATCATTTCATTTATGCAATCGTCTAAATTGATGACGAATTCTAAATTAATGACGTTAGTTAGCATATCACATGATAGATGAGGGATTAAAATAGATTTCTCTTAAAACTTAGGGACCAAAGACAAAACTATCTCAAAAATTTTATAAATTATATATATATTTTATAAAATATTAAATTTAAAATTATAAAAATTTAATATCATTTTAGAAAAAAATTATTTTCTTTTAAAAATAATATTTTATTCATAAATCATAATAAAAATATTATTTTCTATTTATAAAATATATATTTTAAAATATTAAATATCTTTTATTTTCATTTTTTTCAAATATATTTTATAAAAAAAAATAAAGGAAAAGATAAAAATAATTTAAGAAAAAAACTGATTTTTATATATTTCAAATATATTTTATAAAATATTATAATTATTTTTTTAAAATTTTTATTATGATATGATTTATCAATAAAAGAATATTTTTAATAGAAATAGATTTAAAAAATTAAAATTAAGTTGAAAATTTCAAAATAATTTTGTTAAAATTACATATCATATAAAAAAATTAAGTAAAAATTTTTATATCGGTTTAAAAATTTAAATAAACACATTATATCATGTTAAAATATTATATAAAAATTTTTCAGATCATTTTCAAAAATATATTTATTAATTTGATCAACAATATAAAAACTTTATGCTCATATAAAATAAAAATATAATTTAAAACGTTTTTTATTTTTCTTTTTTATAAAATGTATTTTATAAAATATATTTAAAAAAGAAAAATAAAAGATATTTAATATTTTAAAAATATTTTTTGATAGAAAATAATGTGTTTTATTATGAGTAAAATAATATTTTTATAATATTTTTTTGTTTTTAAAATTTATTAAATTTTTAAAGAAAGAATTTGAAAATTTTAACTTAAGTTTTGAATATATATTTTATATTTAAACAATAATCAATCTAATAAATTATATTGTGATAAAAAATATGTAAATATAAATATAAATATAATATTTTTGTAACACATGTATAAAATATATAAAATTTTAAGATAATTTTATTTTTAATCCTTAAATTTTGAAAAAAATTTATTTTGATTCTTCATCTATCCCATAAGATGTTAAATGACATCATCACATAATTTTAATTGGTATTTATAGTCAATTTAATTAATTTTATGGATTAAAAAAACTAACATAAAACAAAAAATAATTTCAAGTAATTAGAGATTTGATTAAAATTTTTTAAAATTTAGAGATTAAATTGAAATTTAAATCAAAATTTAAAAATTAAGTGCTATTAACCCTACATATATACATGGCTTAACTATTTTATCCGTCGTTGAGTGGCGGAAGACGACAGCTGATGATGGAGTAAACGGCGACGATAGACCAAAGAGGAAAGATAAATAGAAAAGGTTAGCGTTAGAGAGATGATAAAATGGATAAAAAAAATTGTAATTCATTTTTTTCAATAATTGAAGTTTTTTTTTTAAATACTTTAAAAAGGCCGTTTTAACGTAAAATCCAATAAAAAAGTCATATAAGAGAAATCAATATCATCTCAATCAAATCAGTGTCAAGTCAACAAATTTAATGAAAAATATTTAATAACATTATAAATTGGATTCAGATTACCAAATTAATATTATAGGAAGATTGAATTTGTCCAATTGTATTGGATAGATTAAATCTCAAATAATAGATGAATATAAAGATTAATATTTTTTTTGTTTTAAAATATTGTTATATATATTTTTATTTTAATGTATTTAATATTAAAATTAAATTTTTTTTATAAAATTAAATTCTATAATTTTTAAAATAAAAAATTAAAAAGAAACATAAAAAATAATTTTACAATATAAAAAAGTAAAAACTTTAGATTTTTAAAAAATATATAAAAATAATTTTGAAACATTTAAAAAAATAAAAAAAATGAGATAGATGGTGTAACATAATTTGACCAATGGTTATTCAAACCATATTTTTGCGGTATATCTGTAAATAAAATATTAAAATCAATTACTGGAATTGAGTTGGGCTTGGACCTCAGCCGAAAGCCAAGTCTACGAGACCAGTTGTTTAGTTTTCATGCTGTTCCAGTTTGCAAGTTTTGTTGGCTTGAAACAAAGAAGAATTTTACAATATGCTTGTAAGGGTTCTAAGTTTTTAAAGGGCAGCCTCTGGTTATAAATAAAACGTACAAATAGATTAACATCAAAAGTTACAGTGAATTTTGTTAAGTTTCTACGCATATCCAATTTACAGAGGTTAAATCTCTGCATCAATGGACTGTATGGAAGTTACTTAACTATGAATCTACAATTTTTTTTTGTATGTATGTGAGATTTACAAGGGAGAGTTGTGGTTTCATCTAATTGCAGTGCGCCGTTTTGGCTGCAATGCCGCAGACATAAGACGCAGCCTGTTTGTTATCTCTGTAAAAGATGGCCTGGCTGTGGGGTCAAACGACCAACATTCTTCCATTAACTTTCTCCATTCCAGATCACAACGTTCTGGTATAGGAGGCCTGAGCGTATTATTTACAATTCCACCTTCAAACACAGTTCAGACAACAACATTATTTCTTTTTTTACAAAGTAGGCTGCAACTTGGGGATAAGGGAAGGGATTGCAGGTGTTGAGAGATTTGATCCTTAGACTAGTTAGATGTTACCCCTTAAGGGTAATTACATGAACTAAATGAGCTAAACTCCGGATTCGCAACAATATTATTTGTCAGTGCTAGCGGGATACAACATATATAAAAACCAGTAAAAGAAAGGTGCAGAATGAATAAACACTTTCAGCAGAATCAGGTAGGTGCAAAGAATGTGGCTGAGACATATATACCAAAGCATTTGTTCCCTAACAAAATTGAGTTTCTTTGGTACAAAAACTAGTTGTAACATGCAAACAAGATACTATTGTATAATATTTAGCCTGAAGTATTGAGGATAGTTATGAAAAGCATACCAATTATTGCACCACAATGCATGCTTGCATATGGCTCTTCTCCGGTCAGAATCTCCCATAATGCAATACCAAATGAGAAAACATCAACCTGCAAATGCAAAGAACAAGCATATAATGATTTTATTTTCTTCTTCCAGGTAGTTGTTCTTTCCTCCATTATGTATGTGAAAGTGAAGAATTTTAAGTTACAAACCTTTTCTGAAACCCGGATACTACTGCCATTCAATAACTCTGGTGCCATCCATGGAAGAGTTCCACGCACACCACCAGATACAAGAGTGTTGCGCTTGATTCTTGACAACCCAAAATCTCCAACCTGCACATCAGGTACATTTCCAGGTTAATTCTATATATGTTGCTCAAATAGTAGATTAGTGATGATTTTGATCCAACAGTTTCAGATATACAAATCACAAAACAGCATCTGAACATGTAGAAAAGCTGAAGTATGTATAGGTCAACCTTTTGAAAAAATATATATGCTACCAACAGAAAATGATTCATATTACTAAATACCTTGCATATGGGCCTTTGAGGATCCCTCAAATTGATAAGCAAATTGTCGCATTTCAAATCAAAATGAACAATATTTTTCAAATGCAAGTATTCCATGCCAAAAGCTGCATCCAGTGCAATTACAAGCTTTCTACGACGATCAAGTGCCCTGCAGGAAGAGTTTTGAAGTCCATGAACCTATTTATCGTCAAAGGAATACACAAAAAATTGAAAATAAAAAATGTAACGATTAACTCACCTATCTCTCTTTAGTAGGGCATTCCTCAATGATCCATTCACCATATACTCAGTAACTGTTGCCATTGTTCCTCCTGGTCCATCAGTGACAACCCCATAAAATGCAACCACGTTTGGGTGGTGAAGTTTTGATAGAATATGTGCTTCTCTCCAAAATTCATTGGTCTGTACAAATTTCCAATTAAGAATGTTTTATAGAATATGTTTCAAGTAATTAAAACATGTTCCAATCCATTTGAGTCCCCTTTCTTTGGCCTGTGGACAGTTCTAAATACTAAAAAAAAATTATTAATGTTTGCAACAACTATAATTATAAAATTATAACCAATGGAAAAGGAATTCAGCATAATACTAATTAATAAAAGACCCACCAACCGCTCTTTCTCTGATGACCTGCCCGAAAAGCAACTTTCTTTGATTCTCTTAATAGCAACATCTGTTCCCCTCCATTTTGCATGATAAACGGTTCCAAATGTACCTGATCCTAACTCCTGAAGTTCTTCAACATCAGCATCCTTTATAATCTGCAGTGTATCAGTATATAAAATGGTATATTAAACAAATGGTGAAGTTCCCTTTCAATGTGAAAGAGGTAAAAAGGTGAGTGACAAAACTTGAAGGGAAAGGAATCGTGAGATTAACAATTTAACCAATGGTGTTCAACATATTTAAAATAAGTGAAAGAGGAAAAAAGTAAGAAAAAAAATTCAAGGGAAGACACTGTGAGTTTAACAATTTAATCAGTGACGTTAAGAAAACACGTTAAGCCTTAAAATTAATTAACGTGATGAGTGCGTAGCCAAGTTATTCATGAGTGGATGTACTTTGGCCAAATGGGTAAAGAGCAAAGTTGAGGTTTTGATAGCAGTTACATGAAGAGTAGATCAGACCTGTAAACCATGGATTCCAGCTTCAATTTCAACCTTCGTTGCATCAGTGATAGAACCGTCTGCACTTTTTCCACCACTCTTCATATCCTATAAAAAATATGAGGAGGTAGCTGAAATCTAATGTGAAATACATCATCATGCATTTGAAAACATCCAGATGAGTAAAAATGCTACCTCGTTATCGGATTCTATTTCTTCTTTTGTTTCTGTAGTAGTTTGAATTTCACCACTGGCCACATCAATATGTGGCACAACAGCTGAAGATGAGGGGATGTCAGCAGGTGCATCACTAGTAACATCTTCAATAATAACTGTCGATTCTATGACCTTGCCATCATAAGGATTAATTGAAGACTGTGATTCAACACTTGTAACATCTTCAAATTTTGACCTTTCGTAGAAGTATAGCCTGCTGCTTACCTCTGCTAGCTTGTGGTTGGGACAACTGGCAACTTCTTCACCACGGAGAAATGCTTTTCTACTTGAAGCATGGTCTGTGGTCAAATTCTGAGAAAATTTCAGAAACAAGAGGATCATTCTTATGAAAGTTCAACATCATAGTGAAATAATTTCCTATTGAGTGGAGCCGTACTTACAGAGCCTGATCTTGTGGGTTCTTGTTCAGCCAATTTGTGAGATGTAACAGGTTGTAGTTTAGGAGATCCACAAGCAACAAATTGACCGCTCACCACCTCAGTCACAGCACAATGCCCATCTCTGGTCGTATTTTGGTTTCTGATATGTGATTCAGGTTTGGCTGTATTTAATTGGTAACCAGGGAGGTACTCCCTTACATCTGCAGAATTTGGGACAACAATGACTGGTAAAGAGAACAATGAGTCTCCAGAGCTACGTAAGTCTTCCACACGAGGAGAAACACTAGGCAAGTTGTTTAAGTTAGGCAAATTCTTATCTGTGATGGAGCCACTGTGTGAAGTAACTTCAATGTTTCTTTGATTGTTCCCTTCTTGTTTGGAAGGCTCATTATACTTGCCCATCCACTTTGACTTCTCTAGACTAAGCTCATAATTTTCTTTGCAATCTGCTGTTCTTGAAGTGGACTGACTCACATGTTTGGTTGCCATTTGGCACTTCCAATCAACTCTCTCTTGCCATTGCATGATCCACTCTTGAGAGGAAGTTGACAATGCTAGTGAGGGAGATTTATCTCTTCCACTATTACATAGTGCCTGTGGCACGACTCCGTTCAAGAAGGAACTATACCTCTCATCCTGTCCTTGTAACTGTGAGTCAGAAAGTGTCCTTTCCTTAAGCTTAGTTCTGTCAGGGCTCATAGTATTTTGACGATGCAGTTGATAAGGAACAAAATCTCCACTGGGGCTTCGATTGTGAAAGTGCTTTTCACGGGATTTGTTACTCATAATACTTTCTAATAGATGTTGGTTATAATTATGGTGGTTCATAAGTGGAAGAGGTACATGAGGATGGTTATTATGATAGCTGGTGGCATCCATATAGTAAGAATTACCACCTGGATGTGTTTCCACTATAAAACGATTGATGCCTTCATTACTATGATCAAAACGAGATGTATCCACAAAAAACTGCAAATTGGAATTATTAGGATTTCGTTGCTGAACTTGACCTGGAGATAGAGGAGGGGAATGGTTAAATGATCTGCTTGGTATACGAAGATTAGTTAAAAAATGAGCAGCTGGATGTGAGAACATCCCAACAATGTTAGGTGAACTTGGACTGTAATCCTTATTTTCGAAACCATGAGCCGATGTAGGAGAGTCTCTATGAAATCTAGGACTATAATCTGAAGCATTTCCAAACTGGGTTGTTTGGCTTGCTAAACTCTGCCCGCTGGGGTTCTGATTTACATCCAGCATGCCATTAACAGCAAAAACATACTGATAATCAATGTCATGCTGCCGTGGTGTTCTTCCTTCCAAAGAACTTGGACTCTCGAGTTCAACTAAGGACACGAGAAATAAGCGCAGTCTTTGAGAACCACCATTCATTTCCAGTTCATGATATTCCTCAATCATGTGATGAAGATCCTCATCAGAACAAACAGATATTAAAGCATCCAGATCCTCACCAGGGAGCTGGTACTTGATAGTATGAGGTTGGCTGCAAATTGCTGCTGTCTTCCTTGCAAGTTCCTCCCAGGTAAGGTTTTTCTTAATGGATATGATCCGTGTCTCTCCCCCTACATATCTAAGCTTCCCATCATTTGGCCTTGGTAATATTCTGCCCCCAAAGCTGCAAAGAAATTTCATTTTACTGGTGAAAGTACCTTCTGTAACTCCCGGGCTATTAGGGTGGTACGATTGAGGGGACCCCACTACACAGAGCGGAGGGACGGCTGGCCCCGGTGTTACTTGATCAAAGTAACTTACATCAGAGAGCTGACCCAATTTTTGTCCATTAGAACCATATTGCCAGTTGTATCTGGCAAAGTGATCGGGATAATTATCTACTTCAGTAGGGCGTACTGTTTCTGAAACAAAATTTGGAATATCTGAACCGTAGTCGGATTCCTTCCTTCTTAATTCTGGAAGATCCTTGTAATAATCCTGCAGATAATTCTGACTGTAATTAAAAGCTGCTTGCCTTGGTTGGATATGGTCTGCATCCGTTGTCACTTCTATTCTTCTTAGAGCACCAGGATGCCTTAAAAACTCAGCAGAAAATTCCTCACCTGTCTGTACACAAAAATTATTTGCATTCGTATCTGTAGAAGTTCTGTCACTTGACACAATAATTGCTTTACCATGGTATGACTTTGGGCTTGAAGAAACAGGAGTATTGCTTGCCATAGTTTCCACCAAATCTACTTTCTATGGCTGCTTTGGATAATGGCTGACATATCGAGTAAATCTTCAATAATTAGTCTCAAGAGAAAATCTATTAATCTCCAGCACATAAAGCAGAATCCTACTCGTTTTCCGCATCCAATACGTCATAACCACACAAAGTATGAAACTGAGAAATACAACAGAATCAATAAAAAAAAAAGGGGTTAAATTCATCAAACTATTATATGTGACGACATCCAAAATGACAGAAAACATTGCATGAGAAAAGGGTATTCAAAACCATCAACATGTTTAATTTCCTCCATCGAATAATATGTAAAATAGATGGATAAAAGAAACAAAAATGCAGACAAGAAAAAGAAGAAAGGGTGCAATAGTACCTCTTTGTTTGTGATCTAAACATGACTCTGAACATTGAAATGAAGATAATGCATTAATCTGGGAGAATTCAAGTGTTTGTTGGATGAAAGGAGAAAAATGGAGATTGATTTTGAGTTTTTTGCTTTGAGAGAAAGAGAAAGACCGTTGCACAAGAGGCGGAGACTATGAGTTGAAACAAACGGGTGGAACTGGACATTTGCTTAAAATAACGTTGGGGACTAACTGCAAACAACGAACTTACGAAAATCCTTTTCTTTTTTAGTCCACCCAATATTTTAACGAGGTCACATATAGACTCAAATCACTTTTTTTTTTTTATAAAAAAAAAAAAAGCTACAATGTTGACGAGAGAGGATATTTGAATTCATTTTTACAAATTTATTATCGTATCTCAGAACACATTTTTTTGTTTTCCCTTTTTTCAAGGATAAGTTTTTCATAAAGGAATGAAGTTTTTAGATTCTGTGAACAATTTTTTATATTTATCTTTTAATCATTTTTAATATATTTTATAGGCACGTGTCGTTTTATTAGTTTATTGATTAAATTTAAAATTGTCAATAATTTTGTTAATTCTATAGAAATTAGTTGTTTTAATATTATAATGTCAAATCTTAATCAATAATTATATAAACAAATAGAAGAAGTAAAATCAAATAATAAATCATACACATAAAAAACAAAAATTTAATATAATTTGATATCGAATTTAATTACATGGATGAATATAAATATGAAAGAGAGAAAATAGATATATATATATGTATATAAAAATATTTGTAAGTGTGAACTCAAAAAAATTAAAAGTAATTGACTTAACTACTTTATTAGTTTATATCAATTTATTAAATTTAAAAAATATCAGCTTATTTTTATCATCATTTTATTATTGTGACAGAGGTCTTGAAAAAAAAAAAAAAATTCCCAATCAGCAATTATAACATAGTTGTTGCTTCATTTACATCATAAATAAGTGAAAGAAGAAATCTTCAGAAATATTAATACCCCATTTGGCGATAGAAGAAACAAATTAATTGTCTCTCTCAAGCATCAAATTAATAGAAATCTCCCTCCATTTGCTGGGCTTTCCTTGCTAAAGCTCTAGGAAACCAAATGCATGGTCATGGTAACACCTATTTTTAGAATAATAAAGTAAAAAATGATCTAAAAAAGTGAGGTTTTCACATTTTTTAAAATCATGAATTGTTTGGTCTGGTTGAAAAAGTGTTATTAGAATAGAATTACTTTAAATGTGTTACTAAGAAAGATAATTTTTGATAAATTTAATATAAAAATATTGTAAAATGTTCAAAACTATTTAATAGTATTGTTGTATTTTAATAAATAAAAACATAAAATAGTGAATTTTATTAAATAAAATCACAAGTTTTTACATTAAAAAAATAAATAAAATAAAGACATATTTTTAATTATAATAAAAAAATAAATTAATTAAAAAATTAGATATATAAAATAATATAATCTGTCTTAAAATTTTGTTATTTATTGAAGAATAAAGTAAGAATGTAAAAAATTTCATTAAATATTTATTATTAAAAAAGTTTTGATTTATAATTTTGTCTAAAATCTTAAATTTGCTTCTTAATTAAAAATTTAAAAAATTTTAAAACCAAACTAATGTTTTATACTTTTGGCATATATATAAACTTTTCGATAATATAAGCAAACATTCATTGAAATTTTTTTTTTTTAAACCTGATATAAATAAGTCAGCTTAAATTATTAAAAAAAATGGATAAATCAAAAAGTTTTTTATGACTTAAAAATATATATTTTCTAAAAAACCGAAATAACTGAGAATATTTAAGTAAGAAACCCTAGACTCCCTTTTTATAAATTCGAGAAAAAAAACCTAAAAATTTTTAGTGCAGTCATGACAAGTCAAAGCACACTGCAGCCGCTAACTCTGCCTCATGAGCTTGTTACTGATATACTTTTATGCCTTCCTGCTAATTCTCTTCAGCGATTCAAGTCAGTATCAAAGCCATGGGGTTCTTTAATTTCTGATCCCAACTTTGTTATATCTCATCTGCATGAAGCAAAAGCATCCCAAAAAAAAGTTAATCGGTTCCGGGTTGGACAGATAATAACCACTTCAGACCGTCCATGTTTGTCACTCTGTTCAATGGATTCCAATGGATCAAACCGTGAAGTTGTAACGCTAGACTATAACTTTCATTACGTCAGATGTGTTCGAATCTTGGTTCTTGTAATGGTTTTTTACTTATAGTAGTTAATGATGAAAAGTTCTTTTTATGGAATCCGTCAACCGGTAAATACAAGACGATTCCTCGGGGTCATTTTCCGTAGGAAGGAATGATTATTTCAGGACTTGGATATGAGTGTAGCTCTAGAAACTACAAAGTAATATTGGTTTATAATTGTTTTACTCCACCATCATCTCCGCATAACGATGATAATTATGAAGGTGTTTCTTATGTTGTTTATAATTATAAAAAAAATTCATGGACATGGAAGAATGACGTGTTTTCTTATGGCTTATGGTTTTCGAGTTTACCTGTAATGATTAATGGAGTTTCTCATTGGTGTGTCCATGATGAAGAGTTATATAATCCCGATGAAGATGATAACGGAGAATATTATTCATATCATCAAAGATATCATTTTCGTGTGCGTTTGTTGATAATTTATTTTGATTTGAAAGGTGAAAAGTTTAAGGAGCTGAAATTATCAGAGTGGGTAACCGAATAAATGTATTTTGATTTGAGGGTTTTAAGAGGATGTTTAAGCTCAAAAAAGCTTTAGTACTGAAGTATGAGCAATGAAAGAATATGGAATAGCTGAATCTTGGACTAAATTGTTTGTTGTTCCATCTTCTTTTGGACAACTGAGGCCAAGATATTAGCAAAGCATGAACGAAAATGAAGTTGTAATTGAGATAGATGTATCAAAGTTTATGGTCTTCAATCTCAAAGAAAACACACAAAGGATTTTGTTACTAGATGATTGTAACTGTTTTACAAATTGTACATATTTTGAACGTCTAGTTTTTCCAGAAGAACATGAAAACCAAGCTAATAATGAGGAATTTGAGGAGGAATTGGAAGACAAATTTTCTACAATGTCTTCAGATTGGTAAGTATTTTTTTTTTTCTATTCAGTACTATGCATTTCACTACTAGTTTGGCATGTATGTATTAATTATTTTATAATTTATTTCTTAATTTTATGTATGTGTTAATGGCCATAAGGAAGCTTTGTGTGAATTGATGGAAGTGAAAGAATGAGAAATATTCTATACATGAAATTAAGTTGTTCATTATGACGGTATCTTCTATAGGATATAGAAAATTTTTCTTTGATTAATTTTGGTTTGTTTCAACATGAATTTCGACTGAGAAATTAATAAATTTGAGCCATTGTATTTTGTAAAGCTACTTTTTCATATTGACAAAATTAACATATTAACGAAATTGATGGGTTTTAAAATTAACTATTGTTTGAATTTCTTAGCAATAATACTTAGATATAAACAAACCTAATTAAAATTCACTTTATATTATAGTATTATTATTTTTATTTGTTAATTTCATTTTATTTATTCAATAATAATATGAATTAATCTAATTATTAAATTTATTCAATAGTATTATTTAATTAATTTTTTAAGAAAGTAAGATAATTTTTGTTGTTAAATAATACTATTAAATCACTAGATATTATTTATTCAACAAATTTATATTTAATAGATGATATAATGTTATAATATATTAATATAATGTAAAAATAATGTAACAATAAATAATATTAATTTAATTAATAATATTAAATTATTTAATAATACTTGGGATATATTTTAAAATTTATACTAAATAATAATATCATATTCATATAAAATAATATTATAATTTAATAAAATAATATTTAGTTACCTTAAATAGAAGTACATGGGCAATGAAGGAATATGGGGTAGTTGAATTTTGGATGCAATTGTTTGTAATCTCATTTTTTTTTTTAATTTTAAACAGTTCAAACAAGGAGATCGGAAGCTTTGATGGAGGCAGACCATGAGAATTTCACACCTAAAGGTTTTTTACAATGACTACATTTGTGGAGAGTTTGATTTTCCCAACAAAATGAAGGGGAAACTGTGGCTACATTTTTATTTTTTATTTTTTTCTTTTAGAATGAGTCTTTATATAACTCTTAAAATTTCTCTAGTACCATTTCATTTTTTCAAGTTTCATATCCTTCTTAATGTCAATTTTAATTCTAATTGGTATTTTATTATTACTTTATGATAGTCTTAATTCCCTAGTTAGTTTAAAAGTGCGTTTAAAAAATGTTGTAAAATATTTTAAGTGTTTGATATTTTAATAAAAAAGTTATGAGCAATTGAAATAATTAAAAAATTTATGTATAAAATTATCAAATATTAAATATATAAAAATAATATAGTGATTTTTTTAAATGTACTTTTTCACCGCAAAACACTTTTTAAAGTAATTTTTTGATTTGAACTTTTGTTGGGTTAAAAGTAGTTTTTGAATGTAAAAATTACTTTTAATAATAAAACTAAAACAAGCTTAACAAGTTTTAAAAAAATTTGTTTGTTTTGTTTTCATTTTTTAATGTTGTTTTATATAATATAATTTTTTTTTCTTTTATAAAATGGAAGAGGTGCATGAGGATGGTTATTATGACAGCGGTGGCATCGATATAGTAAGAATTACTACCTGGATGTGTTTCCACGATAAAACGATCGATGCCTTCATTGTTATGATCAAAACATGATGTATCCAAAAAAAACTGCAAATTGGAATTATTAGGATTTCGTTGCAGAACTTGACCTGGAGATAGGGGAGGGGAATGGTTAAATGATCTGCTTGGTATATGAAGATTAGTTAAAAAATGAGCAGCTGGATGGGAGAACATCCCACAATATTAGGTGAACTTGGACTGTAATCCTTATTTTCGAAACCATGAGCCGATGTAGGAGAGTCTCTATGAAATCTAGGACTATAATCTAAAGCATTTCCAAACTGGGTTGTTTGGCTTGCTAAACCCTGCCCGCTGGGGTTCTGATTTACATCCAGCATGCCATTAACAGCAAAAACATACTGATAATCAATGTCATGCTGCCGTGGTGTTCTTCCTTCCAAAGAACTTGGACTCTCGAGTTCAACTAAGGACACGAGAAATAAGCGCAGTCTTTGAGAACCACCATTCATTTCCAGTTCATGATATTCCTCAATCATGTGATGAAGATCCTCATCAGAACAAACAGATATTAAAGCATCCAGATCCTCACCAGGGAGCTGGTACTTGATAGTATGAGGTTGGCTGCAAATTGCTGCTGTCTTCCTTGCAAGTTCCTCCCAGGTAAGGTTTTTCTTAATGGATATGATCCGTGTCTCTCCCCCTACATATCTAAGCTTCCCATCATTTGGCCTTGGTAATATTCTGCCCCCAAAGCTGCAAAGAAATTTCATTTTACTGGTGAAAGTACCTTCTGTAACTCCCCGGCTATTAGGGTGGTATGATTGAGGGGACTCCACTACACAGAGCGGAGGGACAGCTGGCCCCGGTGTCACTTGATCAAAGTAACTTACATCAGAGAGCTGACCCAATTTTTGTCCATTAGAACCATATTGCCAGTTGTATCTGGCAAAGTGATCGGGATAATCATCTAATTCAGTAGGGCATACTGTTCCTGAAACAAAATTTGGAATATCTGAACCGTATTCGGATTCCTTCCTTCTTAATTCTGGAAGATCCTTGTAATAATCCTGCAGATAATTCTGATTGTAATTAAAAGCTGCTTGCCTTGGTTGGATATGGTCTGCATCCGTTGTCACTTCTATTCTTCTTAGAGCACCAGGATGCCTTAAAAACTCTGCAGAAAATTCCTCACCTGTCTGTACACAAAAATTATTTGCATTCGTATCTGTAGAAGTTCTGTCACTTGACACAATAATTGCTTTTCTCAACAAGTTTAGCAATCTTTGAATTTTTTAGTGTTTGATTTTATTCTTTTTAGTAGAACTCGTATTCTTAGCCACCAGTTGTGAACGGAAAATCCTTTTAGCTACATTGCTCTTACTCTGGTTCATATATTTGTCTTCTCCGAATTAGCATTTGCATACATTTCACATGCAAGTAAAATACATGGCCAAGTATTATCTTGATAGGACTGGTGGAACTTCTCTATATAAGACCACAGTTTAATGGTGAAGTTATGCATTTATAGCTAAGTGTCATTTTCATTCTCTAATAATGCATACCACGTAACGGTGCAAACGTTATAAAATGTTATATATCTTTCCACCTTTTTTCCCTTCTCATGGATAATGTTATGGATTGAATTCTCTTCATTAGTGATAGTTATTTGACTATGGCCCACCTAAATAAGAAGTGTTATAAATTATTTTAATTTGAATGACTATAGCTTAAGGAATTGCCCTTATAACATTTATTATCTGACTTACGCCTTACCATGTCATTTTCTATATTGATAACTGTGAGGGTTGTATTGTGTACTAAACAGGTGCATCATGTCTTCATAGATATAGTTTTTGCTGCTGCAAATGCTATACCAGCTAAGAGAAGTTACATGGGCTTTCTTCAAGCATTCACTATATCATGCTTATATCAGTGTGCATTTTTACGAAGCTAAACTTTCTGTTTTTCTTAAACTTATGCTAAGCAATATTGTAATATTGATTAAAGTGAGTTCGTGGATCCTGTTGTCGCATCGGCAACTCTTGATTTTGTTGATATCCAATAACTTTAGTTTTGTTGAGTGTATTGCTTTAAAGGATTAAATATACATACATAGTTTAGTTAGTTTTCTATTCGCTTAAGTTCTCGAATAAAGGTTTTTGAGTATCTGATCTTCGGTCAATTAAATACTGGTAAATTTTGGTTTGAGTTGTCCTTGTTCAATTTTCTTGGTTCAATTTATTTTTCTTTGAGGCTTGGATATGATGGGGTGTTAAGTGAGTCACCTCAGGAAACTATAGTGCAAGTATGAATAAAGTTTGTGAAGATTATTCTTTTGAATATTTGTAAAAAGTTTGTGAAGATTATATGCTTTAAATATTTGTATAAAGTTTCCAATAATTTTGTAAAGATTATTCTTTATCAACGAAATAAAAAATTTTAGTTATTATATTTTATCTATTCTTTATTGTATTTTAAAACAAATATTTTCATACACAATATTTTTTGGCTAAAAATCCAAAAGGGATACATACCAAAAGGATCGATTCTTAAAATCCCAGAAATTAATCATCAGCGATGAAATTTTCGTTTCTAATGTTGTTGTAAGGGGTGGATTTGTATATTTTATTTTTACTTTAGCGACAGAATTTCTGTTGCTAATTGCTTTTATCTGTGGAATTATATATTTTATTTTTTAAAATATTACGAAATATAATATTTAGTGACCATGTCGCTAGTATTTTTAGTGACATAATTTTATTTTAAATTTATAAAATTTAATAAAAATGGCAAGAATTTTTAGTGACGAGATTTAGTATATTATCGACATACTGTCTACCGCTAATAATCCACTTATAACCACGGAAATGTTTTGTGACGCAATACTTTAGCATATGGAGCGGACTGTGGCTACATTTTTTTTCTTCTAGGATGAGTCTTTATATAACTCTGATTAAAATTTCTCTGGTACCATTTGATTTTTCCAAATTTTGTATTCTTCTTAATGTCAATTTTAATTCTAATTAGTATTTTATTAGTTCATTATGGTAGTCTTAATTTCCTAGTTAGTTTAAATGTGTGTTTAAGTACTTGATATTTTTGTGAAAAAATACCGTAAGTAATTGAAATATCTAAAAAATTATATATAAGATTATAAAATATTAAAAATGTAAGAATACTATAGTGATTTAAAAAAAAATACTATTTCACCACAAATTACTTTTTAAGTAACTTTCTAGATTGAATTTTTGTTGGGTTAAAAGTAGTTTTTGAACGCAAAAGTTACTTTTAACAATAATGCTAAAACAAGTTAAACAAGTTCAAAAATAATTTGTTTATTTTCTTTTTTTTTTTACTGTTTTATATAATATATTCTTTTTGTTTTTCTTTTATTATAATTTTAATAGATTATTTTTATTTTCTAATTCAAATATTTTTACCTAATTTGTATCATAAAAATCATTTTATCTATCAATAAATATAATTGTTAATTTAATAATTTAATTCCATTTTATTATGAAGTATTAAATAAATATTATTAATATTTTATGAATTTTTCTCTTTAAACTATACTAAGGCTATTAACTTATATAACTATTATAATATTCATAGTTATTCGGATAATTTCAAATAAAATAATATTTAATTTTTAATAATTTTAAACACATTAACCTTTTGTTTCTAAGATTTAATGATTGTTAATAAAATAAAGTATTCAAAATCATTAATAATATGATTATCTTATAAATAAGATCATCTCGATGATTAAATTACTTTAGTAGTTTTGAAAATGATACTAAATGTTATTTTAAGGTATATTAAAAAATACAAAATTAATATAATAAAAAAATACAAATTATAGTGTAGAATTTTTGGAGTTAAAAGATTGTCACTAGCCGTTTAAAGTATTGATTAAGAAAATAAAAGTTAGTAAAAAATACACATGATATGGTTTTTAATCCAACTTGTAGTGTTTAAAAAATCTCAAAGACAAAAAAAAAAAAAAAATCTCTGAAGTTAAAATACACAATAATCTTTTAATTACTTGAAAATTTTTATGAATCAAATTCATGATACTACAATTTTTGTTAGGAAAATATATAAGAGAAGAGAAATAATATAAAATAATTTTGGCTTTGAGGCGTGAATGACACTTTTTTCAAGGTAATTATGCCTTAAAGATACAACAAAATCTCAAACTTTACAATCAAAAAAAGTGAAAATGGTTATAGTGAAAGATTTATTTATAATGAATGAACAGATATAAACTTTTATTCAAATGATTATGACCTTTTGTATAATCATAACCTTTATAAATAATAATTTATTTATATTCAAATAGTTATGAC